TTGAGGCTGTTGCAGCAGCGACGCCAGGCAGCTGTAGTGGGCAGGATTAGGCAGCCTAACCGAGGTAAGAAATCCGTTTGGTTGTTTGACCTACCGGATTCTGCTTTTAAACTGCACTGCAGGTTCAGCAAGGCTTCCGTTCGCAGGATTGCTAGTCTTCTAGACGGTTCACTTCGAAGGGTAAACCGTCGTGGAAGTACGGTACAACCTGCAGACATGGTTGCCGTTGCTCTGAACCAGTTGTGTGGTGTTTCATTTCAGAGAACGAACGGTCTTGCAAGTGGAGGTCTATCCCAGAACGCCTCTCGGGTAATTACTTCTAGGGTTGTAGAAGCATTGGTGACAGTTCATCATGAGTGGATCCGATTCCCAACTGTCAACGAGATGAGGGAAACTTCGCTCAGGTTTTTCCGCAAGTTTGGCCTACCTGATATATTCGGGGCTGTGGATGGATGTCATATGCGCTTTGAAAAGGCACCCCAGGGTCTACCCCAGGGCCAGAGGTCGGACGATTATATCTGCAGGAAGGGATTCCATTCTCTTAACGTCCAAATATGTTCCAACGACAAGGTGATATATGATGTTGATGCAGGTTGGCCGGGTAGTGTTCATGATGCTCGAGTCTTCAGGACTAGTAGACTAAGAGATTTTTTGGAAAGGGACCAGTCTAGGTACATGATTGCAGCGGATAGTGCCTATCCAATATCTCTTAAGGTGATGAAGCATTATGAACGTCCGACCATACAGATGCATCATACATTCAATCGTAGGTTGAACGGCCTCCGAACTGTGTCTTCTGAGAATGTGTATGGTCGTCTCAAGCAGAGATTCCCCATTCTGCGACAACTCAGAATGTTTCTAGTTTCTTCCCAGAAGGTTGTGCTAGCATGTTGTGTCCTACACAACATGTCTGAGGCGTTCAAGGATGTTGTCCCAGCGCTAGGTATAGTACCCGCTCATCTACTGGATGATGACGCCGGTGATGAAGATGAAGATGAGGATGATAATGATGATGGTGAACGGCTGACTCTGGCTCGTGCGCACAGAGATACTTATGCCAACAATTTCTACGCTGCTTACCGAAATGCTAATCAGTAAAGGAATTCAGACTTATTTTGAAAATTAAAAGTGATATTTTTTAGTCCAGACTCAGTTGTTTTTAATTATTTTGATTTATGTTTATTGAAGTGATAGTTTTTTTAATTTAATGTTGACTTATTTTGAAAATTAAAAGTGATATTTTTCTAGTCGAGATTCAGTTTTTAATAATTTTGATTTATGTTTATTGATTTTTAAGTGATAGTTTTTTTTATGTTATTTTCGACCTATTTTTCAAAATTTTTGTGGTCTTTAATGTGCTGGAATGATCATTGATAATTAATTTTTCATTACATCATTCTTTTTACTAAAAATGACCAAAGTAAGCAATTTTAAAATAAATGAAAAATTCTAATTTCATTCAAGTTATGAGAAGTTTTTTATCAATGATTTATTCCATTTGTCCCAAGCCAAAAACAGATATATTCTTCTGATATTTACAAATATTTGTATTTAATAAGGAGTTAAGTCTGAAATCAGAGGGAAGACCAGGCATGAACAAACTTATACATTTGATTATTTCAGGAACTTCAAATTTTGACGGAAAACCAAAATAAAAAAGGAAATTTTAGATTCTTTTTAGGCACTTCAAATCTCAAGGCAAAGATTAACTTTAAAATGTTTAACAATTTACTTTTAATATAAAAAAACTCGATTTTTGAAAATGATTTTTAAATTCTTTTTAGGCACTTCAAATCTCAAGGCAAAGATTAACTTTAAAATGTTTAACAATTTACTTTTAATATAAAAAAANTTTTATTTTATTTTCAAGAGGGGGGGAAAGACAATTCGCAAAGGACTGGGGAACGGTGGGAATGTTTTAGGGTGGATACTTTTGGCAATGGGAAAGTAAAGATCAAAGTAATCTAAATTGTAAGCTGTGCGATTGTCTTAATGTTACTGCGTTAAAACTTGCAAAAAATATTTTAAGTGGCAAAATTTAAAAATAAAAAATAAAAATCCAAGCAAGTTCTTACGTACATGTCCCAAGTCATGAAAGCATAATAATCTCAAGAATTATTATGTAAACAGAGGGGGACAATTGCATATTTTTAAAATATAATAAAATGGGTCAAACACTGATTTAGAGCAATATTTATTTCTTTTATCTTGTTAAACATATTGAATTTATAATTTTTTTTATTAACGTTATTAATGTTACTGTGGACACTTTTAAACTGCTGAATGATATAAAATACTCAATTAAAGTTTAATCTTCTTTATTTATGTTCAGATGAACCTGACAGGAGAGTGTTTAATAAAGCAGGGCCTGGGTGTAAAACGGGAGGATATTAATCAAAGGTGAATATTTCCTTAATGTTTTACTTATTATTTGAACAAATAAAAAATTATCAAAATTTTGTATTTTTTGTCTTATTTTTTAAACCGGCTTTGGTTATTATTTTGTCCCTTGGATCCGGATATCCGGATACAAATATTTTTGCGGAACTGGATCCACTGAGAAAATCGTTACGACTTGTTGGATGAATCTATATTTTATCAAATTCTAATTAATATGTATAATACTTAGGTTGAAGAGATGAATCATATTTCGACGTTATACCTTAAAAATATTATTCATGATTTAATATGCAGGTTACACTCCGATACAAGACCGCAGAGTTTCCGAATCTCAGTGCCAGACCACAGAGTTTGTTCTAGGATACTAAATCAAGATAGCTGGAGCTCAAAATTATACGAGAAATCAATAATCTTGTTCTAAAATGAATTAATTTAATGCTTTAGAAAAAAATTATTTTTATTATCTGTTTTAATCTGATTATCCGAGGTTATTATCCTCAAGATTTAATTGTAATAACAAAATAACATTTAAGTTTCCATTCCAACTTTTTGCTTTATTGCTACATGTTGAAGAGTAAAAAACACTCCAATTTTTACATTTAAATTTTTTCTCCTCTCATTATTTGAGTAGTTGAGTTAAGTGACAACTTTTATATCATAATCATCGGCATTACTTTTGTTAGCATATTATTACTATTATCCCAGTTAAATGTTGTAACACTGAAAACTGACTGGCCTTGGTATTTCCAAAATGTGGTCTACAATTTTTGTACATTCCATATTGATCAGAGATATCAAGAAATTTGTATAGACTCCAGTTAATTTCAACACAACTAAATTTTTTAATGTTCAATATCGCCGTTAATTATGAAGATACAAAGAATGAAGACGACATTTTGGAAAGCTTATAAGAAGAACAACCTGTTTTTTGGTAATTTATCAAATATAGGAAATCCAAGATGATTTCAAATTTGTCTCGTAATGTTTTTTGTGACACTATGTATAATTAATATGTAACCCTAAATCAAAATGTGAAGTTCCACATTTATTTTTATTTAAACAATTTAAGATTTTATATGGAACATTAAAAAACATTTTCTTTCCTTGCCAGTTTTGTAAAATATTACATTAAACATAATTATTTGTATAAAATTTAATAAATGCTATTAAAAAAATATTGTAATTTAATGAACCGTCCTATGTTTACTTCAATTTAAATTATTTTTTGTCAATTTTGCTCTTTATACTGACAGTATCCCGGGGCTAAACCCTTTAATTAACCTTTAATCAAGTCTTTTTTTAAATTGTGAATTTAGATTTATCGGATATCATTTCAGCCAAATCAATAATGTTAAAGAGGATCAAATTTAACCTTCAAAATTTTATATTAAGAGGATTTAGGTTGTAATTTAAGAGACTGTAATCGTAATTTCTAGTGGCTCTTCATGGAAAATCCCGATTCACAACGGTGAAATTTATCTAATGAAATATGAATTAGACATTATTTATGATTTTTTAACATAATTATTTTTAATTGGGGTTTTTTTTTCTATAGAAGTGACTATTTGTAATGCAAGAAAACATAGAAATTATAAAATTAAATACATAGAACGCTAAAGAACAACAATATCTTCTACGTTAGTGATTATTTTAAATCAAATTTACAAAAAAAAACGAGAAAATCTGAAATATGGAAAAATGGGGAAGATATGATAAAATAAGGGGAAAAGGTTCCGAAAACCTTTAACATTCGTTCTGATGTTAGTAATGAGATTCTTGACTAACAAACAGGCGTTTAAAGCACCTAGCTGGTATTTGACTCAGACGTTTTGGTGGAAAAGGTTTAAAAAACATGGAAAAATGTGGAAAAAGGGAAAAAACACTAATTATGCCCAGATGCAAAATTTCATTCAGATTCCTCATAAAATGAAATGGGAAATCTGTACCCTCCCCTTTTAAGACGAACGTTAGACTCATGGTGTGATTTTAAAAAGCCGAATCTACATTTTCACTTTACTAAAAAAAACTTATCAAATACACACAAGACTGCTGATAAGTAGTCATCTCATTGGACAAACCGTTGTTGTAAATTTTTCTGTAAAACTTTGTTAATTATAAATCTTTAAAACTTTACAAATTTAGTAAAAATGATGGGACTAAATAACGTTTTGACAAAACTGTCCAAAAAAGAAACTTACATTTACATTTAAAATTATCTTTGTCTCTACATCTCTCTTTATTTCGGTCTCTCCTCTTGTTTATGTTTCTATTTATCAATCTTTATTTATTTATCAATCTCTTCTAAAAGTAAAGTTAATAGCATTTGTTTTGATTTCAATTTCAATAGTTTAACATTTAACAGGTTTAACATTTAATGGTTTAATAGGTAACATTTAATAGGTTTAACATTTTTCTTTCAAGTTTGAACTTTCTTTGTCAGAGAGGATTAAAATTTGTACTTTGAAAGTTTCAAATATTAATTGAACTTTTATAATAAATATTCAAACTTTGCAAGGTTACAATCTCAAATGAAACAAAATGCCATTACTCCATGTTCAAGGTTCAAATTTACTCCGGTTCCAGGGTTCATGTTTACTCCGGTTTCAGGGTTCAAGTTTACTCCGGGTCCAGGTTACAAGTTCAATCCGTGTTCAAGGTTCATGTTTAATCCAAGTCCACGGTTCATGTTTACTCCTGTTCCAGGTTTCAAGTTCAATCCACGTGTTCAAGGTTCATGTTTACTCCGAGTCCACGGTTCAAGTTTACTCCGGGTCCAGGTTTCAAGTTCAATCCGTGTTCAAGGTTCAAACTTACTCCAGGGTTCATGTTTACTCCGGGTCCAGTGTTCAAGTTTACTCCGGTTCAAATAGGTTCAATTTTACTCCCTTTCCGGTTAATAACAGGATAATTTTCAGTTTGATTACAATACAATCATAGAGTAAACTTAAGGATACAATACATTTATAACGAATAACGATATAATAATTATTCATCGCTACGATATGAATGTTATTTTCGATTTTTGCAATTCAATTGAAAGTAGTGACCAGCTAAGTATGGAAATCGTGGACAAATTCTTATTCATTTCAGACAAATAAAACGTTTCTACGATATTTAATGAATGTGTTTGATCACAAAAGTAAACTTTCAAAATCATCTTTTTAGAATACGTTGAGAATTGTTTTCGTTTTAATATTAAAAACAAACGACGAAAATTAAGTAAAAATTTTCCAAAATACTGCATACTCAGTTCTACTACCACACATCGCCGGTCACTCCCTTTAAGGAAGAACCTCAAAAACATTTTATTTATTTATTTTTTGTGGGGGGGGGGGTTATTTAATTAAAATGTATTATATTAAACCAATAAACATGTGACTACATATTCAGATGAAAATTCATTGGCTTCTTTTTGTAACATACAGTACTATTTCAAAATAAATGTAAGTGCATTTGTAGAAAATTACCCCAAAGCCTTGAAATAAATTTCTTGAAAACAATTCCAAAAAAATCAAAAATAACATTCCTATCAGAAGAATAGATAAACACGTTTGGTGGTGTTGGTGGTAGAGCTATTCCCATTTGCTCTGCGGCATGCTTTTTAAACTTCAGTTCGCATTCAAGTTTCTAAACAAAAACAATATTATGACAAGATACAACTTTGTTTCCACTGAATTGGGGAAAATTAATGATTTTAAGGGAAAAATTAATATATTTTTGGGGAAAAGTAACAAATAGGATGAAAAATTCCATTCTTTTTTTTATATATATTTCATCAAAAATCTGTCCTCTCTAAAAAAATTTATTAAAAATAAACGTGTTATTTTAGTACTTACATATAATTTGGCATGTTGCACTTTCTTTTGGCGACGAAACTCTTTTATCTCATAGTATCCAGTAGTCTTTTCAGGAGCAGTAGTTGGAGTTTCTTCAGCGCTAGAGGTTGTGATTCTATGACCTGGAGGGGCTCCCATTAAACGAGGTTCAGGGGTTGGAGAAGAAGGGGGGGGGATGTAGGTAGAAGTGGGGTTTTTACGGGATATTGTTGGTGTTTGAAATGACCGGGAGTTGACCAGAGCTCCCGGGGGGAAAACAGATCTGTAGGGGGTGCTGCCGTTTGATCTGGAAATGGGGGCGGAGTTAAAACCGGAGGGGTTAGATGATCGAAAGGTACTGGCGTTTGATCTGGAGATGGGGGCGGAGTTTGAACCGGAGGGGTTAGATGATCGAAAGGTGCTGGCGTTTGACCTGGAGATGGGGGTGGAGTTTGAACCGGAGGGGATGGGAGAATCTTGGGTACTTGTGTTTGAACCAGAGGATATGATAGAAGCTGAGGTAATGACGTCTGATCTGGAGATGGGGGCGGAGTTTGAACCGGAGGGGTTAGATGATCGAAAGGTGCTGGCGTTTGACCTGGAGATGGGGGTGGAGTTTGAACCGGAGGGGATGGGAGAATCTTGGGTACTTGTGTTTGAACCAGATGATATGATAGAAGCTGAGGTAATGACGTTTGATCTGGAGATGGGGGCGGAGTTTGAACCGGAGGGGTTAGATGATCGAAAGGTGCTGGCGTTTGACCTGGAGATGGGGGCGGAGTTTGAACCGGAGGGGATGGGAGAATCTTGGGTACTTGTGTTTGAACCAGAGGATATGATAGAAGCTGAGGTAATGACGTCTGATCTGGAGATGGGGGCGGAGTTTGAACCGGAGGGGATGGGATAATCTTGGGTACTTGCGTTTGAACCGGAGGGGATGGGAGACTGTAAGTGATTGAAGAATGGAGAATCAGAGAAGACTGGAGAGGATGTACGAGGCGGTGTCGTCACATGTCTAAAGTACAATAATAATTTAATAATTTTTATTGAAAATATTATACTTGGCACGCTTAATCTACTAGAAGAAAAAGGGAACTGACTTTTTAGTTCAATTTAGGATATGCATGACTTTTAAATAATAGCAATTTCAATTTTAGTTACAAAAATTAAGATATTGTACATCGCAAACTTGATTTTTTTTTTATTTTGACCACAAACAATTGGACAAAAAACGTTTTTTTTTCTTCACTATTTCTGATACATTTGGACGATCATTTGATTTATTAAACCATAATTTTATCATTCATTTTGAAAATAAAACGATTAACACAATTAAAGAAATGCTTAACCCCAAAATATCTAACATTTAGAGGGGAAAAATGATTTCTATCAGGGAGAGGGTAATTGTATTTCAAGAAAATATATCCCCTGTGAATTTTACAAGGCTGTCTTATACTCACAGGGAAGAACGTACATCATCCTCCTTCTCCAGGTACCCATAGCTGGGTTCTACTATCCCTGTAGCCATTAGGGTTACTTCACCGTCCATGCCTTGATTATAAAATTAAAAATCAATGGAATAAAGAATTTATTGGATGATCATAGGTGTATATATTCCCAGACCCCTGGATGGGGGGGGGGGGGGGTTTAAATTGAAAATAACTGTGGAAGAAAAGAAAGTTTTTATGTTTCATTTAAATTTATCACAAAACATTTATTGAAAACGGGGGGGTATAATTCTATAAAATATTCACCCCTGTTATAAAACACAGGGGATACACTGAGCCCGTTTTCTCCATAATAATGTTTAAACAGTGGTCGTGTTGTTCACGTACTTTGGGGGACGATAGTTTGGCCGCTAGATGTCTCACGCAAAATTCTTATCTGATAGATAGATAGTTCTTACGAGAGACATCTAGCGGCCAAACCATCGTCCCCCAAAGTACGTGAACAACACGACCACTGTTTAAACATTATTATGGAGAAAACGGGCTCATAGCTAAAATCTGTACATTCTATCCATGGAAAAAATTCAAAAATATTACAACAATAAAAAATAAAACTTTTTTAAATACCAGGAGGAGGCTGGGGAGCTGGACCCCCTCCGGTCTTGGAGCAGGCCGCCTTATGGCTCCTTTGGAGTGTAGAATATCTCGCCTCGTCTAATTTCTATTAAAATAAATGTAAATTTTTACACGGTAAAGGCCGGGTTACAAGAATATATGTTAATATGTTAAATTTTTGTAGTTAACAAGTAGTTTACGACTATAGTTTTACAAATGTTTTTCATGTTTGTGACATAAAATTGTATTGAAATATGAAATGTAGGTTCAGATTGGTATAGGTGGAGTTAAATGGGATTTGTTTCGCAAAAGAATAAGAATTGACATGAATAGTTTACCTCCTTTGTTGCATTTTTAAGATTTTTCCATTTCATCTCCAAGTGTTTAACTGTAAACTCCTGGTTCCCAGGAATTTCTTTGAAACGGCAACAAACCAGATCCCACGCCCTTAAATATGAAATATGAAAAAAAATATATAATTTTGGGTAACTACTGACTTTCAACCACAAAATTCACTTGATATTACACCTAAAATCTAAAATTAATTATATCAGAAATTTAGTTTTTGTTACTTGAATAAAAAAAATTAACTCACTTGCATTGCCTTGAAACAAAGTTTTTCATATTATTTTGTTTTTGTTTTTCAGATTTGTTTAACTATAAACATTCCTTTTTAACGAGTTTTCCCCGTCAAAATTTGAGGCAAATCTATCAAGGGGTTTAAAATTTGTGATTGATAAACAAACAGACAAACAGGGATTTCTTCAGTGTATAATATTTTAAAATTTTTTAAATTGTTGGAAACAGGAAAATGATTTTCCTTAAAATGCAATATCAGTGGTGTAAGAAATTCCCCCCCCCCCCATACTGGAAGGGGTTCAAATCAAAGAGCGTAGAGGAGGGGAAGGGAAGGAAAAGGGGAAAGAAAATGAAAAGGGGAATAAAGGAAAGTAAAGGGGAATGGTCGGTATGGAGGGAAGTGGACAGGTAGGGAAGAAAATAGGTAGGAGGGGAAGTGAATAGGTAGGTAGGAAAGTGGATAAGTAGGGAGGGAATGAGATAGGTATTGAGGGAAGGATATAGGGGAAGGAGCAGGGAAGGTAGGTAAGGGAAAAGGAAGGAAGGTAGGGAAGAAGAAGAAGTATCGGCAATGTAGTGAAGGGAAGGGGAAAGGAAAATAATGATGAAAGGTTGACATATAAGGAAGGAAAGGGAATTTATGGAATTGAAGGATTGGAGCGAGGTTTTTTACCTCTTCATATCTATCTTTCTCTGAAACTAGACAGTTTTTCACAAATAAATTTTCCCTTTAGTTTTAATGCATTATAAAAAAACGTTGTTTCACGTTCCGCGCACAATTTTATTAAAAGTATGATGAATCATCTTTCCTAATAGTCAAACATAATAAAAAAACTTTGCACTATGTGCACATGTACAATTAATTTTTTTGTTGAGAATTTGAGAGTAAACACACCCCCCCCCCATTAAAATGATGGGAAATGATTTAAAAGAAAAAACTCATGGACTGACAAGTAATCAAAACTGCTTAGCCAGTACAACCATTCAAAGTTAAAAAAATATGTAGTAAAAATTTTACACAATTATGTCAATTTAGTTAACGAATTTGGGAAAGGAATAAAAAAAATTATGGAAAGGGGGGGGGGGAATAATAAAAAATAGGAATTATATAAACACCTGCGCAATATCATATTTTTTTCTCAGATTATACGATTATGACAAATTACCTCCTTTTCTTCTCCCGCCCCTCCTTAGTTTTCATAAGAGTATTTAATGTTGAATTGACTCTACCGTGGTCAAGCGACATAATCAAATCTAAAATAAAATGTTTAAATAATCAAAATAATAACTAATTATGTACTTGGTTCATAATATCTGCAAACTCCTTCATGTGGTAAAATTAGAGTTGTTATTCGTTTTTAGAAAACGATCAAAAACATGTTTAATTTTTAGATTTTACCCAAAACGATCGTTTTCTTTTGGAAAACGATAATTTTTAAAACGTCTCACTCAATTTGAATTCTCAGAATAAGAACAACGAACAATTTCGTTGAAAAAAACAACAATATTTAAGAAGACCTTTGTTTATTCATTCCGGTTATGTCAGAACAGCACTGTACAATGTACATTGAATAGTACCTCTTAGCGTATTAACTTGTGTTTGTGTCCAGTTTGGAGCCCTCTTGCGGTGCCCAGTTTGCCTGACATTAGGAAGAAACCTAAAAACAATTAAAATTAAATAATAGGTGATTTCTGTTAATTAACATTAATCTTTTCTCATGTGTAATTGTTGAAGACAGAATATTAAGATTTGTTTTTCATGCAAAATTTGTAATAATCTGAGGAATAATTGTTCTCTCTATATCCCTGGGTAATTTCATAATGAGAGAATGTTCTTTAACCCCCCCCCCCCTCCTATAAAATTTGTACATGGTTGTCATTGGTCGAGTGGCCGCAGCGCCACGGCCCCCTAGCCTGCCCTAGCCGTGGCGCCCGGCCCCCTAGCTTGCCACAGCCGCGGGGCCGGGCCCCCAAGCCTGGCCGAGCCGCGGCGCTCGGCCCCCTAAACTGTCCTAGCCGAAGCGCTCGGCCCAGAAATTGTCTTAACATAACGTAACCCTAAATAAAAAATAAACAAAAATAATTTTTCTGAAATCGTTTACAAAATTGAAAGGGGGGCCCGGGGGGAGGCGGGGGTCCAAAAATCGTTCGCGATAACAGACCCTGTCCCTGTACAAGGTATAGAATGTGAAGTCCTTCTTATAGTATACAATCTTTAGACCCCCCCCCCTTCCTATTTATTTTGTACATGAAGTAGATTTCACTTATTCTCAACAAAAAATATTTATTTTGTATATTTCAGGACAATTTCTGATTATTTCCTAATATACGATTTTTGGACCCCTCCTCCTCCCCCTCCTATCAATTTCCTACATAGATCTTCTATGTAAGACCATTGACCACGGGGCCACAGCACCCGGCCGCCTAGCCTGCCATGAGGACCGCAGCGCTGTGGACCCTAGCCTGTCCTAGTCCCAGCGCTCAGCCCCTTAGCCTGTCATAGCTGTAGCACTCGGCCCTGAAAGTGTCTTAACCTAACCTAACCCTAAATATATACTAATTTTGTTGAAAATTGTTGAAATTGTATAATAGGACGGACCACAATTTCTGGACCAAATGCTGCGGCTAGGATAGACTAGTTTTATGACTTAGAAATGTGTCTTAGAAGCCTATATCTCTGAAAGTAATAGATATCAAAGAAAAAATTTAGGACAATGTTTCTATATATAGTAGTGAGCTATAACCAAAATTTCAGCCAAATCTAAAATGTTTGTCAAAAAAATCTTTAAAACAGTTACATGGTTTATTTATTTAATCTGCTCCTGGTTCAGCCAAAATGCTCAATGATTTGAAACTTGTGACTTCAAACTCTAGAAACTCTTTGTTTAGGAAAATAATATGATTACAAGGTTTAGGGAGCTTTCTGATCTTCCAGTGGTTTCAAATGCTCGGTTTTTTAAGGCATAAAACAAGCAATAAGCTTTTGCTTGCTTTTTATAAGGCAGAAAACGAGCAAAAGGCCTTTTGCTCTTTTTTAAGGGCGAGAAAGTATTTTAAAACCCCAACTGTTTAAAGGTTAAAATGGCTTTTTAAAGCAAAATGTTTTAACAATAGTTTTGTTTTTGTTTTTACCTTATATTTTCACCTAGGACTACAAATTTGCATGTTTGATGAAAGCAAACTTCTACAGAATACAATTTTAAATCGTAATCTTGGATTTTTGTAAACCTTTTAAAAATCTAAAAATATTAATAGTTTCTGTTAAACTGATCTAGCTATTGTCCAAATTGATAGTCGTAGGTAGGGTTGTTAATCGTTTTTGTAAACGATCGTTAAACGATCGGTAAACAATCGTTTTTTGTTTCGTTTTCAAAAACGATCGTTTCGTTTTTGGAAAAAACGATCGTTTTTAAAAACGACTCACTCGTTTTGAACTTATAGAAAACAAATAGGGATCGTTTTTGAAAACGATCATTTTTATTAAAACGATTTGCGACCGTTTTTTATACGATGTTTTTTAAAAAAACGATCGTTTTTAAAAAAAGGATCGTTTTTAAAAAAAGGATCGTTTTTGAAAAACAAAATTATTGACAATTATGTTAACGATCGTTAACGAATGGTCGTTGTTAACAATCGTTAACAAAGGGTCGTCGTTAACGACCGTTAACGAAAGGTCGTTGTTAACGATCGTTAACGAAGGGTTGTCGTTAACGATCGTTAACGAAACGACTAAATTTATCAAAACGGTCGTTTTTGGAAAAAAATTACATGCAACTTTTTTGAATGTCGTCTTACATGAAGTTTAACAGTTGTGGGAGAGTTAACACTCCTTGATATTTTCTTAAAAACTACTCAATGATATGTACAGATGCCCTTCAGGTCGGTTTCCTCTCTTCGTTAACGATCGTTAACGAAGGGTTGTCGTTAACGATCGTTAAGGAAGGGTCGTCGTTAACGATCGTTAACGAAATGACGAATTTTTGAAAAACGATCGTTTTTAGAAACGAGCATTTTGAAAAACGATCTTTTTAAAAACGACCAATTTTAAAAAACTAACTTTTAAAAAAACGATCGTTTTTAAAAACGATCGTTTTTCTGAAAAATTAAAACGTTAACATCCCTAGTCGAAGGATGCTGAATTTTTAATGTCCACTCAAATGTGTAATCTAAAATTTGTTCATTTCTCGGTTTTAAAGAGATTCGAGTAAAAGTGCGTGCCAGACGAAAATATTTACATACATTATTTAAAATAAACAAATTAACTCCCTTAAAAATTATATTTAAATTAAAATAGGATACATAAAAAACGCTAAAAAATCTAATAGTTTTCCCCAAATATGACACATTTCAACAATTTACGCTTGTATTTTCTAAAGTAACAAACGATATTATTTAGAGTTTAGCATGCATTGCTTTCTTAAATCAATGGGGGAGGGGTGAATTGGGGAGAAATACTAAGTTTTGGTAAAAAAAACTGCCATCTTCCCCCTCAAGAATTCATTAAAACATGTATGACATTGAGAGTATATATATGATACATAAAAAAACTAAGTTAATAATCTAATAAATTATTTAATTTTAGAGGTTCGCGGGTTATATATAATTTAATACTCTGCAGTCTACCACAGGAGGAACGACGAGGCATGAAGGTCAGAACTAGCTTATGAAGTGTGATAATTAGTTGAACCTGGACAAAGTACTTTCAATTTTACTGCCTAACAAGAGAAGTGGTTCAACTGTATTAACGGGGTTAATCAACTTCTTTCTAATTATGAAATCTTGCCACTGCACCGATATTTTTTTTTGACAGGGGGGGGGGGNCATCCGACCTACGAAAAGTGCCCATCCGACCTACGAAAAGTGCCCATCCGACCTACGAAAAGTGCCCATCCGACCTACGAAAAGTGCCCATCCGACCTACGAAAAGTGCCCATCCGACCTACGAAAAGTGCCCATCCGACCTACGAAAAGTGCCCATCCGACCTACGAAAAGTGCCCATCCGACCTACGAAAAGTGCCCATCCGACCTACGAAAAATGCCCATCCGACCTACGAAAGATGCCCATCTGACCTACTAACGTGTCCATGCGACAGCTTAAAGTAGGTCTGATGCACCAATATGCTGTTTTTAATGTGCCCATCCGACCTACAGTGCATCGGACCTACCACAGCTGTTAAAACCACGTGCTCGTAGGTCGGATGGGCAGTAGAGGGGATGGGCGTAGGTCCAAAAATACACCATCGCATTATTGGTGTAAGTATTTAAATAATTAATACTAGATTGAAAGACGACATAAAAAAGCTTGACACACCCTCTAGCATTTGAATATTGGTATAAGTTGGTATAAATATTATTCCGATAATTTCTTAGATTCAAAAGAACACCACCCTTCCTGATGCCTAATAACTCCTGGAGAAATCCTCTCGGACTTTGTCTCAAATTCGGCATATTGGGATAGTGTACGTAAGTGCGGACCTTTGAGGGGAGGAAGGATCAAAACAGCTGCAGCAGCTTTTACGAGGCTTAAATTCGTGGTGGGGGGGTCAAAATCTTGCCATATGGGTCATTCCCTAGCAAGTCGCAAATGCGTAAATATATGCTCTTTCCAATTCTTAGCTTATAAGAGGGGTGGGGGCTGGGGGGAGGAGAAAAATGAGCTGCGTTAAAATAAAGTCTATTTTGTCCCTGCACCAAAAAGGGAAGGGGGTTGAGGAATATGGGGGGGGGAAATGGAGGCATCTAATATCGGGTTTCAACATATTTTTTAAAAATTCCTTTTTTTAAATTTTGATAGCATTGAAATCAACGCATTCGACGGGGTCTGCGTAAAATCTACGATATTGGGTCTGCACGGGAATCGCTTTTCTATAGAAAGGTATAAGAGAGTTGGATGAAGTAACATGTGTCACATGTTAATATTTGTTAAAAGTAAAAATAACTTTTTTGGACCTTAACCATAAAAGTTAGAGGTCTAATTTTTTTAAATTAGCAGGCCTTGAACAGTTCGACTAATCCCCCCCCACAACCTATATTAGTATAAATTAGCCCAAGAGGAATAGGGTTAAGAAAAAACAGGAGTATTTTTCTTTAGAAAAAGATAATTAGGACTTTCAAAAACTTTTTCATAATATTCCTATTTTTCTGCATTCACTGATTTTTTTATTATTTTTCTCTGAAAAGATTGAAATTGTGGAACTTGTTTTTCTCAACTTTTTCTAAGAATCTTTAGAAAAAAAACACGCATTGTTAGACACATTGTTTAGCTTAAATACTGTACAGAATTTTACAGTTTGCAGTATATACTGTACACTGTACGACGTACGTATAATGTTTTAGAATACAGTGTTAATTGTTCATGTACAGTTTGCAATTTATATTGTACACTGTACGTGTACAGCGTAAAATGTAAAGTGTAAATAGTGTAAATTGTGCAATGTAACGTGTACAGTTTGCACTTTATAAGTGTAAAGTGTAAAGTGTAAATTGTGCTATGCAACGTGTACAGTTTGCACTTTATAAGTGTAAAGTGTAAAGTGTAAGGTGTAAAGTGTAAAGTGTAAAGTGTAAAGTGTAAAGTGTAAAGTGTAAACTGTAAAGTGTAAAGTGTAAAGTGTAAGGTATAAAGTGTAATTGTGTAAAGTGTAAAGTGTAAAGTGTAAAGTGTAAAGTGTAAAGTGTAAAGCGTAAAGTGTAAAGTGTAATTGTGTAAACTGATGGCGAGGAAAATATGACTCTAAAAATATAACCACCAACAAATATAACCATGTTTTGACCAAAAATATAATCATTTTTTTATTGTTAAAAGTGTACTGTGTAAAATGTATATACTGTGTTTAGTATAAAGTGTATGTACAGTGTAGAGTGTACAGTTTACAGTGTACAGAGCCCAAAATTTAAAAGAGTATCGTTGAACGAAACTCCCGAGTTTCCTTTTTGGGGTCTTAACATTTGTGTAGATTTTGATTTAAAAGATTCGAAAAAATGGAGAATATCAAGAAACTAAATAAAATAATATTTCGTACCACAAATATGGATATCCACAAAACTGCCTAACCCCATTCATGAAACCCGGGTTCTAAAACTGGTTTTAATAACGATACCCTGTCTTAAGTTTTGGGCTCAGTGTACCGTGTACAATTTACAGTGAACAGTGTACAGTGTACAGTGTACAGTGTACAGTATACAGTGTACAGTGTACATTGAGCAGTGTACAGTTAGCAGTGTACGTGTATAGTTTAAAGATATACAAATAAACACAAAAAAAATACTGGAATTGATTTATAGTATTCTAATAGAAAAATACGTTAATATTGAAAACCAACGAAACAAAGATTTTAAATAAAAAGTAAAGAAATTAAATGATTTGATGATATCATATTAAAGAAATTATAAAGATATATAGAGAAACAAAGATACAAGATACAGAATATTTGTAAAACTCTGTATCTCAACATATATAGAGAAACAAAGATACTAGATATAAGATACAGAATATTTGTAAACCTCTGTATCTCTCCACTATGAAGATATATAGAGAAACAAAGATACAAGATACAAGATACAGAACATTTGTAAAACTCTGTATCTCTACACTATAAAGATAAATAGAGTAACAAAGATACAAGATATAAAATACAGAATATTTGTTTCTCTCCAAAACTTTATTTACAAAGTGTGTTTACCTTATTTTTACACCCTTTGTTTCTTTATATGAAAGAGAGAAAAGTGTTCAAGATGAGAAACATATTTCTGTCAAGTAATTGCGGAGTTTACTCTCGGAGTTCTCTTCTCCTAGATACCGTCCCCGTCCTCGGCTTCATTCTTTCTGCTCCATCTATACCCGGAGTAGTATCCGTCCTACCTTCCTTCAATAATCTGAGCATTCACTAGCATCCGTTCTACTATACTCTGAGCTTTAATCAGTGTCCGTCCTTCCTTTCTTGTATTCTCTGAGCACTAATCAGTGTCTGGCATACCTTTTTTTACTGGAAGTACTAATCAGTGTCCGTCCTACCTTTCTTACATACTTTGAGCCCAAATCAGTGTCCGTCCTACCTTCCTATATACTTTGAGCACAAATCACTGTCCGCCCTACCTTCCTATATACTTTGAGCCCCAATCAGTGTCCGTCCTACTTTCCTTCAATACTTTAAGTTCCTAACAGTGTCCGTCCTACATTCCTTCTATACTTTAAGTCCCATATCCGTGTCCGTCCTACCTTCCTTCTATACTTTAAGTCCCAATCAGTGTCCGTCCTACCTTCCTTTTATACTTTAAGTTCCAAACAGTGTCCGTCCTATCTTTCTTATTTACGCTGAGTCCTAAATACTGTTCGTCCTACTTTCCTTCTATACTTTAAGTCCCAATCAGTGTCCGTCCTAGCTTCCTTATTTACTCTGAGTCCCAATCAATGTCCGTCCTACCTTCCTTATTTACTCTGAGTCCCAATCATATCCGTGTCCGTCCTACCTTCCTTCTATACTTTAAGTCCCAATCAGTGTCCGTCCTACTTTCCTTCAATACTTTAAGTTCCTAACAGTGTCCGTCCTACATTCCTTCTATACTTTAAGTCCCAATCAGTGTCCGTCCTACCTTCCTTATTTACTCTGAGTCCCAATCAGTATCCATCCTACCTTCCTTATTTAACTGAGTCCCAATCAATGTCCGTCCTACCTTCCTTATCTACTCTGAGTCCCTATCAGTGTCCGTCCTACCTTCCTTATTTACTCCATGTATACCCGAATCAGTATCCGTCCTGCTTTCCCTCTATACTCTGAGCACTACAGTATCCATCCTACTCCATCTATCCTTTTTTGATGAATCTTAATCTTAAATTCTTCTTATTACTTCATGCAGAGCTTTAGGAAATCTTCATCCTTTACTTTTTGGCACTTTTTAATGGTTTAAAAATTGTACGTATATTATTCATGTGAATAACAGCAAATACGTTTTTGTAAATTGCTGAAACTTTTTGGAATTGAAAATTAGGAGAACACCGTAAACACCATAAAATATTTAGTCTTTAAGGTAAAAAGTATTTTTAAGAAAGAACAACAAACTGCTCGTTTATCATAGGTAAGGTTTATGAGACAGAAGTAGAAATAAAGAAAATATACTAACAATGTATGAAATTAAATGAAGATGTACTATTACAGATAAATGCAATAAAAAAGAACTATTAATATAGACATGCAAAAGAAACATCTTAACGAAATAGAACTTAAAGGGAGTGTTTGCGAAAAATGAAAGGGCTTACGGCGAAAAATAAGTGCTTTTGATCGCTACTAACCTTACCTCTATCTGTTGCGTCTATAAGATCAAAATGATTTAAACCACTCATACAAAAGAAAGTAGCGTCCATGACCATAAAAATTCAGAAAGATGTAACATTTAACTCGGATTGTAAAAAAATCAATTTAATTCCAAACAAATCATTCAGATATTACAACCAATAATCATCGATAATTATTCCTATATAGTTGATATTTCATAATATTTCTTATTTTTATGATCTGATAGTTATTTTTGAAAACATTTGTTCCTGTCTCGAGGATTTTTGATAATGAAGACGACATTTTCATATTTACCAGGAATGTTCGAAAATCCAGCACCGGTGAAATATTATCTAAAAAATCAGAATAAAAAAATACTTTGAAATATTAACTATATACGAATGCGTGGAAAAAAAATCGATGACTATTGTTTGTAATATCTGAATGATTTGTTTGAATTAAATTGATTTTTACGATTTTAGTCAAATGTTGCAACTTTCTGAACTTGTATGGACGCTACGTTCTTCAGCATGAGTCGTTTTAAAACATTTTCTCCTTGACGCAACAAATTGAAGTAAGATTAGTAGCAATCAAAACCGCTTACTTTTCGCCGTAAGCCTATACCCCCTCTCATTTTTCGCGAACACTCCCTTTAAGTTATGATTTTAAAGAGTCCAATGAAAATGCAGACTCAGTAACTGCGCAGCGCAAACAGACCCATTTCACTTTATAATTGATTTTACAACAATATAAAGCTATGTCCTACATAACACCATCAAATGCACTTTAGTATTGCATTGATGACGTCTTGTATTCTAAAGATTTTTTGTTATCACTGTAGTTACTAAAAGACAGTGCAGTGTAAAGGTCAAGTAAATATCTAAATTGTTCAGTATTAGAAATATTTATCTTAATTCTGAAAACTCTTTCAAAACAGTTGTTGTAATCTAGAACGGATTTGGAATACCTTAGAATTTACGTATATATATATATAGAACATGCTGCCAGCGCTCTATATAATGAATCAAAGCAAAAGGGAACGGCAGTGCAAAAAGAACCTTACTAGTAGAAAGAATTATAATATTAATATAATCTTCTACCTTAGGTCAAGTGCAGCTCCCAACTCTTACCGATTCATAACTCAGACTATTAACATAACATAGCCTAATAAACATATTCAACTCTGAATAGCTAGTTATAGATATCTATCTTAGCATAGATAGGCAAGGATATATAATCCTGCATAGCTAAATACAATATATAGCTCAGCAAAGAAATATCTAGCTCTACATCAACGGACTAGAATATATAGTTCTACATAGATGAATGGCTCCTTGGCCCTGCAAAGCTAGAGAAGACAAATAGCTTTGTAAAGCTATTTTTATAAAGATGACCATTAGCTCCGCAAAGTAAAATTAAATAGCTTTATTTAATTAAGCAAGACAAATTAGCTTAGTAAAGCTACTTATAAAGATAACTGATTCTAGATTGTTAATAATTGTATCAATAGCTAAGTAACTAAAATACCATAAAAGTTGCTAAAGCTTTATTATAAATAGCGACGGATTAGAGTTTGTGGCATTGTTTATCTCTGATCTCAAGTGAGATAATCAATGCACGCTAGATAAAGTAAATAGCTCCGCAAAGCTAAATAAAATAAATAGCTCCGTAAAGCTACATAAAGGATACTAACTCTTTATGACTAAAAATATAAATAAGTATTTATTATCTAAGTATATTAAAAGCTAGAAATATCTCTAACAATACCACAATGAAAGAGGGAATGATCTTGATGAAGGAGAGACGGAGAAAGGTAAACCCCAGAAGGGGGATTACAAAAGAGGTCCGGATGATGTCCCTGGCCTCGAGGATGAATCTGAAGTAGAGAATGAGGCTCCACCAGGGTTGGGGGCAGATGAATCCTCATCAATTGGAAATGAAGGAGCCTTAGAGCAGATACAGTATCAACCGAGGGATCTAGCGAAGATCATGGAACAGTTAGGGAACGTAAGGAGGTACCAGGCCACCTCTTCAGCATAGTTAGTGTTCCGTTGGAGTACAGAAGGTGGAGCTTGGAACCGAATATTAATCTCCTGAAATGAATAATACTTCATGAATAAATTTAGATCAATAAATATGAACTAAGAGTTAATTATTGTGTTAAAATTCTGCTGTAGACCGAATCAAACTCGGGGTTTACAGCACAGTTTAATATTGATATTAAACAAATTTTAAATTGGTTTCGCAAAAACCTTATGTTGCGGATTTAAATTGACATTTATATATTTATAAAAACTTTTTCTTAATATTGGCAAAATTAATACAAATAAATCATATTTGAAACATTTCTAAATATATCGGAAAAAAATAAAAATGAAGTGTTACATAATTTGTAATTGCTAGAGTAATTTTTTTTGTCAACATTATAAAAAAGAAGATGAGGTTTTTTCAAGATGATTAAATGTCTACAGCTCGGACAAGAAAACATACTCGAACCTTATATGATTATGTGAGACTTAGTTATGTGTTTAACCCTATGAAGGCTAGGGGGTCTATGTAAGGTCCCACGCCCCCCCCCCCTCCACCCCCAAGCTCAGAGACTAACTTTAATAGTTTGGGTGCAGATATCAAAATGTGACAAATGTTTCTACGTTCATTTGTAAAGGGCTTTTAAAAAATGTTGTCACAAAAAAAATATGGGCTATATTAGATTTTTTTACGCGGACCTTACTTTGAGCTACGTGGTCACAAAGTGTTAGCAGTAATGACACATAACTGACCTTCTCTTTTTGTGTGAGACATTCAGAAATTTGTTTTCTATTTTTCTAATACATTTGGAGCTGTGATCATATGTCTATTTGGACGTTTTCAGAACCGACAATATCCGTTTTCGGAACTGACAATATCAATTTTCGGAACCGAAAATATCAGTTTTCGGAACCAACGTACAATATCCATTTTTGGAACCGACAATATCGAATTTTGGAACCAACAATATCCGTTTTCAGAGCCGACAATATCCATTTTTGGAACCGACGTACAATATCCGTTTTCAGAGTGGACAATATTCGTTTTCGGAACCGACAATATCCGTTTTCAAAACAGACAATATCCGTTTTTGGAACCGACAATATCCGTTTTCGGGACCGACAATATCCATTTTCAGAACCAACAATATCCGTTTTCGGAACCGACAATATCCTTTTTTGAAACCGACGTACAATATCCGTTTTCAGAGCCGACAATATCTGTTTCCTGAATCAATAAATTCTCCTTTCCCACCAAGATTGACACTTGGACTATTTGGTGAATGTAAAATCCAATATTTGTAAATAAATGCTGACGGGATACAACTGAGAATAAAGACAAATAAAAAAGCTTTAAATTGAACGGACAACGATTTATTTTTTGTTAACAAAAAGAAACAGAAAGTTATCCAATTATACTACATTTTTTGTATGCAAAAATAAATATCTCTTTTGAATAAAAAACTGCAACAAACTCTTTTTAGTTAATCCTTTTCTTTCTGCAACCTTATGGCGTTTATCTTTGATACATCACACTTTCAACACAATAGTTAAAAAATCAAAGGTCATGGACCATCAGGTTGTACAGATATAAGAGGTAGAAATGTTCATTCACGCCCCCCCCCCCTAATAAAGAGCCTTATAGTAAAGGTACAGGGTTGAGACGCATGTACAAAACCCAACTTTTTCAGGCAAGTTCAATGATGGCTAATTTTAATAGTTCGGGTGCTAGAAAGGGTTGATAAAAATGTAAAAAATATTTGTTTTGTTTTATTGTTGTTGACAAATATTTTCTAGGGCTTTTCAAAAATGCAGTTTTTAGATTGGTGGCTAATTACTGCCCTGTACCTTACCCTATGCATTAAAAAGGAAAAAAAATACAACAATGTTTTCCATATAATTAAAAAAATCAAAGGTGATAGTGTGGAAGACGATGCCTGGCCGCGTTAAACAAGTTCCACAAGATTCAACAGAATGAGATAGAACGGATACGGGGCATAGTACTGATAAATCATCTACACGTGTGATATCGATATTGACTCTAGTNCCCCCCCCCGGCTGTTTAGGGTTAAGTAGGTTTTAGGATTATATTTCAAAGTGTTCTTTTATCAATCTTTTAAATGTCAAGCTTTCCAACAACACTATTTTCATTTCTAAAATAAAAAGTTTTCATTTTCGAAAGTTTTCCTTCTGAATTATAAAAATTTTGCAAAAACTTTTTAATTGTTGATTTCACATATTCAAATAAAAAGTATACAAAGAATTCATAAGAATTTTCATAATTTTGTAATTGAAAATTTAAACAAAAATTATGATTGTTAACGCGAATTTTTTTAAGGAAAAGGCAAATTTTTTGTGGCTAAAAAATATTGTGTCAGCATGTCAATTTAGAAATAAATCAATTGCATATTTATAAAGAACTAATATAGATATTGAACTATACTATCATGATATTGAATTTTGATCTAGCTGGGCACTGATTAATGAAAAGCATATTTTTGCCGTGCAAAGTGCAGAGATTGTGATTGTAATTTGCAAATAGATTTAAGATGCTGCCTCTACAATACTTTAAGTCTAAGTTCCAGAAAAAGATTGATATTTCTAGCTCTATAACAGTATATAATCTATGAACCACAGCTAAATGAACAATGTTAACCCTTCAACAATATATAATCTGAGAACTTAAATACAACTACCAATGCTGCCTCTTTAATATAAGAAAAAGGATACGATTGAAACTTCTAGCTCTATAACAGTATATAATCTATGGAGCAAAGTAAAATGAACAATGCTAACTCTTCGACAATATATAATCTGAGAACAACTAAATAAACAACTAACAATACTAATCTCTGTTTGTCTGTCTGTTTGTGTGCCCGATCATAACTCAGGAACCCCTGGACCGATTTGCCTCAAATAATGAGTGGGGAACTCGGGAGACACATGGTAATATTCTTAGCTTGGTTATGAAATTTTAAATATAGTGTGTCGACTTTAATAGCGAAAATTTGATTTCCCGGTAAAATCGTTCAAGTGCGGGTAAACGGCTGGAGAAACTGGAGAAACTTGACAGCGCTGGGTTCCCAGGCTACAAACAATATATAAAATCAAGTGCTTGGTACGCCAATACTTATATTTCCTTCCATAACCTAAAAGGGGGGGGGGCATGGTCTTATATTTTGAACAATTCATCTCACAGACATTTTAAGACAGAGTTATTTAGACCATTTTTATAAAAGTTTATCAAGTTTAAAATAAGCTCCAAACATAAAATCTACAAAAAAAAAATTTAAAAACATAGAATAATGAGGAAAAAATTTGTAAAAATGAAATTTTGACGATGTCTTTTTGCCGTTATTTTTTATCACTTACATCCTTTACACTGGCTCTTTCTTTATCTTAAATTACTTGATATAAGAGAGTTTATTTGCTGACTGCTGTTTTTGTGACATCTAAAGAAAAAATAATCTTGCTTAGTCCGTGTCATAGTTGTATAAATAATATATTTTACCAGTTTAAAAGAAATACTAGAAAAAAAAATTGATTTTCATATTAAAAATATTAAACTAAAAAAAAAGTAAGGACAGTTTAAAAAGATTAAAACTATCGAACAAAGGAATAAACACATATTTTAAGAATCTAAACGTTCTATTTGTTCAGTGATGACTGATTTTAAAACTTTCATTTCTAAATTTTGATGACGTGTTGTTAAAATAGTTAAAATAGCTTTCTTATTTTATTTAAGTTATTTTGTCACATTTCATCTGAAACATCAAATATGGATGATTTCATTTATTATTTTCAGAATTAAAAATTAAAATTAAATTTTTGTTTGAAAACCAAAATATTCACGGGGAGGAACATCAAAACAAATATTACCCCTGGAAGTTTTTTAGTTTTTGTTGAGGGAGGAGAAGTAGTGGGGTGAGAAGGTGGGGGGAGAAGGAGGGGGGAAGGAGGAGGGAGTA